AGCAGCAATACACCACTTTCCACCACTTCAATGACACTCAGACTAGACTGGATCACCAAAACTCTGAAAGAATTAACTTCTGCCTGCAACCAAACCTGTTGTAAGGTGAAGAAGCCAGAATACAAAAGGACTCATAGCTAAGCTATAAATATTTATTATATAAATCTAGTTCCTGGAGGGTTCAAAAAGCTATACAAGCACTTCCTACATTTCAGATGCATCTTTGACTTCAGCTTGCATTTAAAGCATGCCTTGTTGTTTTTCTTACTTCAAACCTTGATGAAGATTAAAACAGACAGATTTTGGCACTTCTTTTAACCTCCAACTCTTCTCAATTTTTGTGGCATATTATCTAAGAATCTCAGAACCACAGGAAGTTACAGGAATGACTACGTGACTGGATTGCAAAACTATCAAAGAATCAAATAATTTCAACATGCAGAATGTAATAAAAACATTAAAAATTTATTCTTTTAAGCTAATATTGTTATTGACATCATATCAAGACTGATATAAATTCCTAAATCATGTTACATGAGACTGTAAAGCATTCAGGCAACTTAAAGAGCCTTGAGTCAAGCTACATAGAGACAGCTTTTTGCATTAACCCGACTTAAGAAAGAATGAGAATGAAGCAGCTGTTCCATAACTTTCCCAAGAAATCATGAGGACTTTCCCAAGCAATTTCACATGCATTGTCTGTGGTCTACAAGTTAGAAAAGAGAATGTTCTTGCTTAGAAAGAGAATCTTGTCTTCTCTGTCACTTCTATGCACTAGAAAGATGAGGACGAAGTATCAATTTATTTATTCTTACTCTTAGAGAAATTGTGAGTCTACAAGCAACAAATTAAAGGAAGATTCTATGAACAATTAGACAATTCTTTTAGGGAAAAATAGGCATTTCCAGCAGAAAAAAAATTCAGATGGTGCTAAATTCCATTTTTTCTACAAGGTCAAATACATTTTTATCCTTAGAGAAAAACAGATTTTTTTATGCATTCCTGATACATATACATCACATCATCTGTTATCATTCTGCACTGCAGAATTCAGAGAAATATTTTTATTAGGAATTTCAGAATCATTTTACTACATATGATTCAAGGAACTTTTCTGCATGTATTCTGTAATGTGTAATAAATCACTCTGCAAGAGATTAGAGTGACCCCACCACTATGATGTCAGTCATCATAAACCCTAGTCGTAGTCATGTCCAAACGTTGTCTCATTTCCTAAGAGTTCCCAATATGTCCTCATTATTCCAGCTGCAATTCATGCATCAGGGGGATCTTCTCAATGAGCAGCAGATAAGAGGGATGTTAATAAGAGGCTGAAGGGTCTTTCTCAAAGCACTTGACTGAAAGGAGACCTTTTGGGAATTACGGTCCTGTGTCATCAACACACATCTTCACAAGTATGCTTTCTGTTAACAAATGCTGGCAATTTACTGCAGCCTCAGCTTTGAAAGATGATTATTTTTATTTGGAAGCAGCTGAAGTGGAATCAGTACAGGACAGGGTTCACCTCCAATCTAGCAGCTGCCAGATTGGAGAGGAGGAACTGCTGAGAGGGAAGCACAGAGGTGTGCTGCACATCATCATCTCGTGACTCCTTCTCCCAGCCAAATGGAGAAGGCTATCTGTGCAGGAGCAGACTTTTTGTTTAAGACATGTAAAGAAAAGCCCATCAAGGTTGAAGGGAAGAAACGTTTACAATCACACCCTGGGTTTCAATCATATTTGCTAGTAAGCATACAACAAAGAGCAGGTCACTCCTCCAAGGAGGAGCACTGTAAGGAGATCATTCACCAGTGGACCAATAATGAAGCTGCCATGGTAAGAAGTGGACTGGCCGCATTTATGGCATAGTGAAGTTTATACTAGCAGCTTAATGAAAATTTCTGTCCCTAAAGGTTGTACTTGGACAAATTTTACTAGGAATATATGGAGCATAGCTCAGCTCCAGCTGCTGCTACAGGAAACAAAATCTATTTCTACAAGAAATACAAGTACAAGAATGAAAAATGAAGAGCAATTATATTTATTTTTCCAAAATAATAGCATTAAGGTATTTTATAAACTTGATACAGCAAGACATCTCACATTAGCAACTTTGGAACACAGTTACAAAAACCTACAGATATTACCTAATCTTAAACACAGATATTTACTGAACAACATGATTTGATTTTCATTACAGAGCATCACACAATTCTGTTTACTCTCTTAATAGATATCTATTCCTACAGAAGCTTTTTCCAAATTAAGAGGAAAGAATGACCTCACCCAGCAGTATTTAAAACTGGGATCTGTACGTAATATATTTTATACTTAATTTTTTAAAAGCTCAGCTGGCTGTATTAATTAGCTAATCACACACCTGCTCAATTTAGGCTTCAAGCTGGAAATCTGTAAACATGACGAGTGTAATATTCTGCAGGCAATGCTGCTGAAATACAAGGACAGTCCTGTGTGAGCAGCAGCTGAACAGGGGCTCGTCTAAGGCTGTAAGACTGCTTCCACTTGCAAATTTGGGCGACTGGGGTCATATACAACAAAAGAACTCAAACTGCAACAGAAATATCTGGAAATTACAATTTCAAATACCTTATTAATGTAAACTGTTGACCTCAGATGACAGTTTCGTTTCGTAGGGCAGGGGTATGTCTGTGTTTTATATACAGTATCTGCCTTAGTTATGTCTGAGACTGTAACTTACCGGAAGGATAATTTTCTTTGCTTTTTTTTTTTCTTTTTGTGAGAGTTGATTTTTCAGACTTGACAAAGTTTGTCAGCTTCAAGTCAAAGACAATCTCCTATAAATTCACACTTACAAAAAAAATTCAGAAAAAAAACCCCTGTACTTTCTAACGCAACAGTCAGAAAACCAACACAGCACACCTATCTAGCAATAGCTAGATCAGGCCTCCAAGTATCTGCAAATAGAAATATGAGATATTGCTTCCTTTCTCTCAGTTCAGTGGGACTTCTCAAACACTTACAAAAATCATACTGTTATTCACGTGGACAAAGTTTTCCAAAGCTTTATTTCTCTTTACTGAAAGGTGGCAACTGCAATGTATATTATCATACGGAATCATATTAACCCTTGTGGTATCTAGACACATAAAATTGGCCATTTGCCTTAGTTTTATGATTGCCAGTTAACCTACCAAATAAATAAAAAACAAACCTAACCAAAACAAGCAAAAAATGAAACCAACCCAACAAATTTCCAGGGGGAAATGCTAAAAAAATTGAAGAATTTAGAATGGACTCACTATAAACAAATAATTGATTAAACACGACTTTTTTAGATTAAAGAATACTTGAAAGCAGGTGAGGGGCTCTTAATGCACACTTTCTGTCCCTTATTTTAGAAGAAGAAAACTACTTTCAGAACAGATAGCCTAGTAAAACAACTAAAAAAATCCTTGAAGCAAACTTAACATTTATTTTCATCTTTTTTGACTCACCAATAGAGTTTCATGACCATTTTCAAAAGAAATTATTTCAGGAAGGTAGCTTTTTGTGTGTTTGTTCCAATTTTTTACAAAAACGTTTTACAAAAGTGTTCTAAAGCATAGTTGAAGCTTGTTGGTATTTACCAGCAAATTAAGCAAATTTGAAATGTATAGAACACTACAAGAAAGAAGATCTTAAGTGTAAGGATGTTTGTTACTATAGGATTTCACTTGAAACATGAGGAGATTTAAACCTCTTCCTCTTCATTAGATCTGAAAAGCATGCTGCTTTTCAACTGGATCTGCAGATGAGTGCACCACCAGTAAAAATCCCTGTCTGGAGCTGCTATGAAAGGCAAGTAGACTGTTAGAAAGATTTTATTAATTTTATGCTCTTGGATGAGTAAGAGACATTTCAAGAGTTAAAGCAGAGTAGCCATTAAGATTACAGTTGAGACATGATTAATTTCCCCCTTGCTGTCACCTGTGCTAGTCTGTCACCTTTCCCTCTGACCTGTTTCTATTCTCATTTCCTCAGCACTCTGTGGACCAAATTTGTATTGGTGACATCAGTGATGCTGACATCAGAAATTGGCTCCTTGCCTCTATTTTTCCCTTGCCTTCCCTTTAATTTGCCTTTCCCTGTGTTCTCCTCAAAGATGCTTTGCTGCAGCTGTCTGTGCTTTGCAGGTATCCTTGACTACAGCTGACATTCCCATTCTCTGGCCAGCTGGAGCAGGTCTGGATATAATCCAGATCAAAAGCAGGTGGCTAATCAGCAAATGAGCAACTTGTTGGCACACAACAGAAGTGACTCAGTCACTACTGGGTCCCCTCTTCCCAGTCTTATATTTGGACAAAAAGTAGTTGTGGGTGGTGGATCTTCAAGAAAGTGGATTGTGAATCATATTGCAAAAAAAGCTCCAAACACCACAACCACAAAATGGCTCTTTTGGAACTGAACAATCACAGATACCCAGCCAGCATCCAGCTACAAGGCAAACCAGCAAGGCACAATACTGCAGCACACTAGTAATGTGCTTTTTTAGATAGCACCAAAATAACTTTGTAATGCAAAAATTTATGATTGAATGGATAGCAGAACTTCTATAGTATTAGCAAGAAAACTGCAAAGTATTTTAGCAAATCTTTAAAGATATTTATTGCACAATAATGTAACTGCTGCATGAGATTTGTAATATATAACCCATCTAGCACAGGTTCTAGGAGCAAAGCTGCCATGTGCATAGTGATTTGAATATGTTTACAAAGCCCTGCTTGTATTTGAAATCAAACTACATCTTCCTACAAACACTTCCACCTCGTTTCCACCTCATTTCCACTCAGCAAATCGTTACAAGGGTAAGCTAAGTCACTATTTATTTTCACTATCTATTCTTAGATGGCTTGTTTTCTAAAGAATTTTTACTCAAGAGAACCCAAATTTAAAACTACAAGTATTTAAACCTACCAGTCAAGATCCTTGTTGACCATAGTTGTTTTGCAGTTGTTTTTTTGCAGTTGTTTGCATAGTTTTTCAAAATATCCCTCTTCTTCCCATCAAGTAGTTAATGCAAATTATTGAGCTGAAAGAGGAAATTCACTCTATCAATACAGATTCAACGTTTCTGCCACCTAGATCATTAGATATAGAGTTGACCTTTATGTGTTGTCCATATATCTGTCACTCATTTATTCTTTCTTTCAGGGAAATTGCATGCTGTTTTTGTCCTTTCAAAGTGAGGATTATCTAACTTGCAAGAATTTAGGAGTTTGGCTAAATTACAGTTTCAGCACAATAATATTATTCTCTGCAGCATAATTGCAGATGTATCAAATGAAACACTGGGGAAGAAAATGGACCACCATGGCACGCTTAGCTAGAAATTCTACCATCACATATTAACATGGCTCCACATGCCAGAAGTACATAATAAGAAGGTCAATGTAAGGGATCTGAACAGGAGTATCAATGCAGTCTACTCAGTTTACCTTCCAGTGCACTTTAATGCCACTTTCTTTAAGACAAGGTACAAAAAAACCACTGAAGGCAGTATTTGTCAGGACAAGAAAATATGGTAGCTATGTGCAGCATACTTCCATAATGTCTTGGCAGCAATTCACTTGCTGTTATCTGAGTTAAAAGAAATTCCAAAGGGGGACAAACCCACATCACATGTGTACTTTCAGAAACAAAGTAGGAAAGGTTCCATCTATGACATTTCAAGTCCCATCTGCATGAACATCTTTGCCAATTCTTGAAACTAGTGCTTTGATTTTCCAGAGGGCCTCTGGCAAAGACTGGCCATTAAATAAAAACTTCAAGGTAATTGCAGACCTCCATTCCTAAACTGATGTCAGGTTGTATGGTCTATACATGGCTTGTGGTAACTATCACAACCACAGTCCTTTTAACAACAAATTTCTACTCACTAGTGTCTACTAATAGCCAGGCTGTTTCTTGAGTAAAATTACACAACAATGTAATCCTTGAAATCAATAAGCTATGCCTAGAAAAAACACACTTTCATACTGACTGAAACTTGAGCTCTCTGAAGGTGGATTGCCTTAACCCTCAATTCAGCCTCTCCACAATTATAGCAGCATTAACGCACTTGTTTCTTAAATTGGTATAACACTCCTTTAACCATAACAATAAATAATAGCGTACATGAGCCATGGTAGCACGATAAAAATGTTATTTGTTTACAATCTCTACTAAGTCTTCTTTATCCCCAAGATCATCCTCTAACCAACAACAATCATAATTGCTTCTGTGTGAAGTTGCTTATACAGAGCGTTCCAAGTATGCCTATCAGATGAAACACAGCATAGAAGTTAGTTTTGAAGTTATATGCCAGCTACCAGAAAAACCTGCAGCAGCCGTGAGGAGGCAAAACAACTGTCTCAGTCAAAAGTGCTTCCCACTGACTGCCAGGAACCTCCATTTCACATTCCTTGGCCTGAATTTTTCCCCATAAATTAGTTTTAACTTGGTTTGTTTCTCATTCCCATTATGACTTTTCTCTTATTCTTACCTTGTCTTGTGCTTCATCAGCTCCTCTCTCATGTAAGAAAAAAGCCATTTTTCTTCTAGGCAGACCGTGCATTCCAGCTAGGAACAAAGATGCAAGTAATCAAGTTTCACATCTATTTAAAGGCAGATTTATAAAAACAATTAAAAAACAAACAAAAACAGGGACAAAATGCCCACAAAACAAATAAAAAAACCCCATCCACTCTAACCCACAGGGACTAGGTAAAGGAAAGAGAATGGGTATGTAAAAGGAGCAGTATTTTGGGAGGGATCCTTTATTCTTCAAAATGGCCAAAATTTTGCATGTTTAATGGGCGATGTACAGGAAGCAAGGAACAACAATGGATACATCAATGATGCTGATAATGGAGCCTCATCTCTAGATTTGCCAGAGTAATACGGTTTCACATCCTAGCAATGTTACTCTCTGTGGACGCTGACTATGTAGTAGTGAAACCCACAGTCTCCAGTGTACTTCGGTTGTTTTTCGACACCACAAGTTTTTGATAAGTGGGCTGGAATGACACCTTGCTGCTATCACCGTTACTCAGGCATATAGTCCAACTCCTTTATTTAAAAATTCTATGCTGTGACAAACACAGGTTTTGAAGTTCAATTTCCCAGGCAACAAGACTAGCTTAGCCAATCTGTTTCTAAGTGGACAATTTCTGTTTAACTTTTGGGATAGTTTCTGAATTCAACATGCTGCTAGTGCATTTAGGGTTAACCTTCCAGTTTGGATCTGCTCTGTACAAGGATTTGTGCCACACCTTTGCTCTCAGGGGTTGTTCTGGAAGGTCCTCCTTTTGTGCAGTGGCCTCAGAAACAGACATGCCTATGCAATCTCTATTTAGATTACTCTGAATATAGCTGTTTCCTAGGTTCTAAAATGCAGCCTGTTCAGAGTCTAACAAGTGAAAAAAGAATAGCTTTTGGCCCAGGCAAAGTAGGAAGCAACTTAGAAGAGCAGACTACCTACTCTATTTGGGATAAGACAGCAATATTCAGTTGTTTCAGCAACCTACACAACCTGAAAAGTCGGTTTTATTTTCTACTTGCATAACTTTGGCTTCTGAGAAAAGAGCTGGAGGGATGCTAGGCAGCAGCAGAAGCAAGCAGGATTAACCAAGTGTTTTTTCTTCTCCTGGTTGTCCTATGCCATGGCAGAAGTAGCAAGCTTAGTCTCTTGCAAGTCCTCCTGAACAGGCAGAGCAACAGCTGACTATAGTGGGAATGATCTGGGAAGAATTGCTGAAAAGAGGAGAGAGACATAACTCATAATTTCTTCGAAACAATTTTCCTGTTTCAAGAACCATTATCACCTCTTCCACAAACAAGACAAATTATGATAATAAATTCCAATTAATTAACAATAATGCCCCTAATAATTTTCTAATGACAAAAAATAGCGTGCTCTTTTTACAGTGGTGCAGGATAATGAATGTGTTGCTAGAGATTTCCCTGTGTTTCATACCTGCTTCAGTCCTTACACAACTGCATCTCCAACAAAACTCTTGCTAGCTTGGGGGTTATTTTGTTATTATATCCCTTACATCTAGGGGTATATTAGTTTATTTTTTGTAACTGATTATATTTGTTTCCTTGTCCCTGGGGCCTTCTTACATAGCACTTCAGTACTGGTTTCCAGTTAACTTTTAACTGTCACTTTACTTGGTCACTGGGGGATGGTTGTCTTATTACTCTTCTCAGCCTGCTTGTATCTACCCACTCACAAATTTGTTTTCTTCCTTGTTAACTATTATTAATGCATACAGTCTTAGCAGAGGTTCAGTAGTTCACCAGCAGAATGCAGGTTCTCTGCATTTTTTGAAAGACTCCTGAGAAAGTTTAATACAATTACGCATCAGTGCTGCTTACCAGTCAGTACACCATACATATTAACACTCATGAACCTAAATATCAACGTACACTCACACCCAGGCATACCACACTGACAGCCTGCTTTGCTTGATAATTTGTTCACAGTACTGGGCCTGGTGAAAAGGAAGATAGCAGTCAGGGGCAAAAGGTGCACAGCCATTATCCTTAATTTAATTGTTAGTACACAATATTGCATGAAGGCAATAGTGAGGCAGAGGAATGCACCCTTGACACACTTGGAAAAATCCATATGCCCTGATAAACAGGAAGTAAATACAATGGGCCAATAAATAATAAAATTGACAAAATTGTAAGTCTTATGGACAACATAATAACAATAATATATCAACCTAGTTTCATCACCCAGAATATTAATGTCAAGCCCTTTGTAGATAAGGACTGTATGTTTACCTAGCTCATTGGCTTCCCTGGAGTGGAACCACTGCTTTCCAAAGTTTCTAATCAGAGATGGCCCATTTAAATGCATCCCTTTACATTTACTGAAATTAGCAAGTGCACTAGAGTTAAACCCCTATTAGACAAACACCTCTCCAGTACAAATCCACAGTTGCATTATGGCTTATTTTCCTTGATACTTCAATCTTTTATCCTGAAAAAATGAACTCTGAGGAATTAAACTTATAAACTTTCTTCCAGATACTAGTATGTTAAGATTTAGTTGCCTCTTTCTCCTCATTGTCTAAGATTAACACTCTACAAGTACTTTTATGTCATCTAAGACACTTTATAACACCTCTACAACTAGGTAGGTAACAAGTGATGACAACTCTTTGCCAGATTCCCACTTTCTGCTGCAGGATTAACCTGACAGTTGTTTTGCTCTATTTTGTTATTGCTCTGAGCAAATCAATCTATACAAATTTTATAGTGGAAAAAGTCTTCATTAATTTTGCAGAAAAGTCCCAGGTATTTTCAGTAAGTTGTCAATTTTCGGAAATTCAGAATAGCTGGTTAAGTTCATGTGTTTTACACACTCTAGAGGAAATGAAAGGAGGAAAACAATTTCTGCTTCATGACAGTTGATAACAAAAATATTTGAAAGCCATTGATAGGTTCTCTGTAACAGGCTTCTAACTCATCTATCTTCTTATCAGAAATGGGTTATTTTAACATCGTTCAAAAGTAGTATCCAATTTTGCTCCTTCAGTTACAAAAAACATTAAAAAATAATGATTAAAACCCTACTAACAGTCTTTCATTAAAATAGAATTGTGATTATTCTCTATTTTAGGAAAAGAATTGTAAACCATGAGGCTGGATACATCTACATTTGAGGCAGTTAGAGGCTTTCCAACTGATAAAGGCTTTACAAAATCCTAAAAAAAAAAAAAAAAACATTAGTCAGGTGGACCAGAATACAATGTTTTGATTGTGATGAGTCTCACATGTACATTATACTCCACCTGAGTATTAAGGAGTGCAGCAGTTAGACATTATACTGTTAAGACACACAGACCATTCTGCCTTCTGCCAGCCAGGACAATGGAGTGTCCCATGATGTAAAGTCTCTTCAGCAAGTTACATTTTCTCTTCATGGAGAGTGCAGGGTAACTTTGTGAAGTTGGCAGTGACAGAGTCTCCATATATCTAGACACCTACAAACCCCCAGAGCAAAAAATCATTGCATGGTTTTGGCTTAAGAAGCAGCAGCATGCCCACACCTCATCTATCACAGGTTAAACTAGAACAGCACCATCAAACTTAGTCCTGGTAGTTTTATCTCCACAAACATTTAAGAATCTAATAGGCCAATTCCAGGAACATGTTTTATGATCTATGGGAGAGAAAGCCTACGCAAGTGATAGTGTCCTATTAAAATATTTAATTTCAAACTACTAAAATTTCTGTCAGAGCTGTAATGAGAGGAACACTACGAGCCTAGTAGAACCTTGAAGAGTTTAGTAACTTTTCATAGCAAAGCTGGTGAGAATCATCTGTGCTGAGCCTCACAATTTCATCTACTGACAGACTTTTTTCTGCATTTATACCTAGGTTTCTGAAAGTACAAAGATTTTCCAAGTTATAAGGACAGTATTTAGTTACAGCTGTTCTGAGAACTTTCTTCGCCAGAGGCGATCTCCTAGCTGTCCCAGCTAATTTACCATTTGTTGCACAAGACAAACTGGACAGTAAGTATCATCATCACTATCCTACCCAGAGCTGTCAAGCACATGATTGCAAGTTAACTCAAGTACGTAACCTAGATTAAAACATCACATATTAAAACAATCCTGTAACTGTTGTTAAGTTTAACACGTACAGGTCACTGAACAAGACAGCAAAGGCCAAACAGCCTCTAGCTGTCAGACAGCAGGCAAAGTTGCTGCAACAACAAATACAAAACTCTTGCAAGCTAAGTAGCAGAATTTATACGCAATAAAGTAGGAAACACGTAAAATGGCTGAACAACTCATTGGGATTTCTAAAAGGAACGCACATAGCTTCTTAACACAGAAATGTTTCCGGCTAAGCTAGACTATGTGAACTTAAATTTTTTTCACAGTTATTAATCCCTTGTATGATATCCTGTTTATGACTGGATGATTTTTTTTTCTGGAATCACCTGCTTTTTTGGATTAGAAGTTGCCTTCAACTATCGCATTTCTTGTGAACAATGAAGTTCTCTGTAACATGTCAAAAATACAGCCTGAAGCAAAATTACTTTGCCAAAATGCAATAGGTTGGCTCATATCATAGAATCATAGAATGGCCTGGGTTGAAATGAGCCTTAAAAATTATCTAGTTCCTACTTCTGCCATGGGTAGCATCACCTTTGACTAGACCAGGTTGCTTAGAGTTCCATCCAAACTCACAATGAGCAGCGCTTCCAGGGATGGAAAATCTACAGCTACTGTGGGCAACCTGTCCTAATGCCTCACTATCTAATTTAAACCTCCTGTCTTTCAGTTAGAAACCATACCCCCTTATCCTGTCACCACAGCCCTTGTAAAAAGTCTCTCTACACCTTTCTTGAGACTCCCTTCAGGTACTGGAAGGCTGCAATGAGGTCATTTCAAAGCCTTCTCTTCTCCAAGCTGAACAAACCCAATTCTCTCAGCCCTCCCTAACAGGAGAGGTGCTCCATCCCTCTGATCATCTTGGTGGCCTCCTCTGGACAGCTCCAACAGTTCCATGTCCTTCCTGTGCTGGGAGCCCAGAGCTGGATGCAGCCCTGCACGTGGGGTCTCAGCAGAGCAGAGGAGGAGGGCTTCTCCCTGCTGGCCACACTGCTTTGCATACAGTCCAGGACACGTTTGGCTTCCTGGGCTATGAGTGCACATTCCTGGGTCATGTCCAGCACACCGAATTTACCTCACCAACCAAAATTAACCTGACTTATCTGAATTTCTGTGTTAAAAGTGGTAATATGAATTGCTGTGTCAGCAGATCACTAGAAGAAATGACTAATCTAAACAATTGCAGAAAGCTGACATCTTCTTTTTCCATTAGCATTACTGAATGGCCTGTCCTGTACACCATCCCATGATGAAGGATTCATTTTGGCTTCAAGATCAGTTGTTCAAAGCTAAACAGAAGCAAATTATTCTTATATCCTAACCAGACTATGAACACTAAATTAGAAAAAGTCTGCATATTGACAAGACCAGCTGAAAACAAAACCCCACATCTTAAATTGCATACCTTCCTTCTTGAGTAGCAGTTATTTCATGTTCATGCACCTGATTTAGTAAGGAAGAAGCATAAATAGAAAATGAAAATATCTCCAGAGCCCTACTTACCTATAGCAGTTAGCAATGAGCTCATAGGGGAGCACAGACAGAACACCCTTAAGGCTTTATCTTATCATTACTCTGCAAGCTGAGAAGCAGAGAGATGGCTCCAATTTATCCAGGTGTTTGATAACCTCTAGAAAAGCTTACTCATCCCAGATCTGCTATTTGTCTTTGGTACTTCTGATCAAATCGTGTAACTGAGCAGATAGCAGTCACTCACCTGGGAAAACTCTCTTAGGGTACACAACAAAATTGCCCTTACACACTGCGAACTTATTTAACAAAATACTGGAACAATTGTCTCTTAGTAGACCATTTCCCTCCCCATCTTACTGTTATTTTCCCATATCATCATGCTCACCGGGGTGATTTTTAATATGACGTTTTTGAGATAAGAAAGCTAATGAGACATTTCAGAACTTGTCTCAAACGTTATACGTTTAGGTAGGAGAGAATCTTAAAATATTCTGCTACTTCATAGAGTGCACTGATTTACAGAATTTACCAGTATGTTCTAATTATATTCAGTTATTATATTCTGTGAAAACAGCATGACTGAGGAGTTGCAAACATATTCTACCGCTTGTATACTAAAAAAAAAAAAAAAATTTATAT